CCAGCGGGGGTCGGTTTACCGAGAGCGACGGAAGCAAAACAGATAGATTCCCCTCTCCTCCCCCTCGCTGGGAAAGAAGCAGGAGAGAACATGGGCAAGAAGCCAAAGCAATCCATCTATTCTCTCCCTCCAGCAGCGCCTGTGTTGCAGCTCTTTTAAAAGCCACTGCGACGTGTCTCCCTCCAAAAAAAAAAAAAAGGCGTCAAAGTCACTCCCTGTGTTGAAACATGGTCGATGAAAGCAGCTAACCTTCACCGACATTGAATCGTACGCAAAGAGCTCGATTTCTAAAACAAAAATGTGCACAGCCTTTACACAGGCTCTCTGGATAGGGGGGAATAGGTTGAAGGAGGTCTTGTCCTATTTCCTTGTCTGATCAGAACCCTAAACCCCAGCGCCCCTCCCCCACACTAGCCAACGCTGTCGTCACACAAAAGAACAGACTGAGAAGGAAAGGGTCATTTCCTGGCTCTAATACGCCAAATTACTCTTCTCTGTGTCAGTGCTGGTTTGACACACGGATCCTCTATGGCCAGACTTCTCAGGTTCATCGTCACAATGGGATATACCTGCCTTTTTTTTGCCCGGTCTGGTCAAGTTGTTGTGTGGTACATTTAATGGCTTGGTGCATATTTCAGGTGTGATTCATTGTCTGATCATCATAACTTCTGTTGCCATGTTTCTCAGGTGGACCCATCCATCTTCAAACCACTTATCCTGGTCAGGGTTGGGGGGGTGGGGCCTGGATCCTATCCCATTTAGCATAGGGCACATAGACGCACACACTCTCACACACAATCCTACTCTAACGGAGACTTAGAAGTGGCAAGTCCAACTGCACATCATGGGGCTGGAACAGAAAACCTAAATGCCTGGCAGAACGGAATTGTCACTAAAAGAACATACAAACGTCACACACACAATGGTGGGATTCGAACCCCCATTTGTTGAGGTGGGAGGCAATGGTGCTGCACACTTAGGCACCAAACCGCTATTTCTGGTTAATTGTTATATGATATGCCATACAATGGGTTTTGTCATATCAATTATTGTATAGCACAATTAATCGCTAGCTGGAAATTTTCGGCTTTGGTTCATTGCCTAATACAGAGTACTGTGCAAAAGTCTCAGACAGTCAAAAGAAACGTTTAAGGCTATTTATCTGGGTAGCAAATGCACCTTTGTTCAGAACAAAAACAACACACAATTTAGCATTAGAGCATATGCAAATTAAGAGTAACAATAAAAACTAGTAATAATTTCTTCTGTTCTCCAAAAGGTTACTGTTGGATGATTGTTAGATAAACATCGCCTCAGTTCTCAGATTCCTCCTCAGGGGCATACCAGCCATTCCATCGATTTGTTAAATTTCACCACCAGCTCAATTAATTAATTAATCAATTAATTAAGATATTTTAAAATGTCAATGAGATATTGAATAGCTATATGACGTGTGCTAGTGGTCAAGTAAAAAAATATATGGGTGTATTGGATGGTTACTGGAAATACTGGGGTGATTTTAGCGGAGGGTTTGAAATGGCTAAGCTGACACTTTGACAGGCATAAAATCATAGCTTTACACCAACACGAAGACCATTTAAACATCATTTACTTTGGCTGCCTAAGACTGTTGCACAGTACTGTACATAACTTTTATTGTTGGTCTTTTCCAGTCCATGACTCTCTTAAACACAAGGCTTGTGTGGCTGATTCTTTTTTCTAGGCTTTCTCTCTGTGTTATATTTGACTTCTACGGCTTTGTGATGTATGGTGGCTGAAGTTTAGGGGGTTTAGGATGGTAAGTGTAGTGAAAAGTAAGTGTAGTGAAAAGCAGTGCAGAAAATCAGTGCCCTGTGCTGCACTGGATGAAGACAGGAGGCATGCAGTCAGTGCTTGCTGTGTCCCACTGCGCTGGCTGCTACAGGGCATGGCGTTTCGGCAATATGCGTCCATTTGCAATTATCCTTGGATAAAAGTGTAGTACAGAGTGATGAGCTATTGTTTGGTTCATCCTTCCAGTTTTAAAATAAATGTATAAACTCACAGGCAGATCGTCATGGGGGTATTTTCCTCTTGGAGTACAACAACTGAAAAGCTTTGCAGGGTATCATTTGTGACCTTTTATTAGTGCCAAATTTCCTACAAGGCAGCTCACAATATTACCCTTTTATGCTGTGTAATGTTTTACTGGAGCAACTGAAGAGAAGCATTTTGCTCAAGGGTACACCAACGGAGTACAACAATGGGGTACAAGAAATTCTCTTTAAATCTGACTCAAACCATCAGATTTAAGGTTATAATCATGCATTGTCAACTGCCAGCTGTCCAATTTGAAAAACCTTTTTAATACAAATTGATAAAAGGTCTGACAGTAAGTTTCTCTAGTAAATGGTGGTTGGCACATAAAACAGTTGTCATGTTTATTGTGAAACAAAAAACACATAAAAATGATCTTTGATATTAACTTGCGGAATATGCAGGGATAAGGTGTTTTTCCTCTCTCCATCCATCTTTCCCACAAGCATGTATTCAGTTAAGGTTTGGGTGAGTCTCATGCCAGCCAGAACACCTCAGATAGGATTCCAGGCCAACAGAAGGTGATAAATGTTGCTGGATTGTCAATGGAACCAAAGGCTTTACAAAATGTAAAATTAATCTGTCCAGGTAATTAGTTAAATAAAACCACAATCAAAAATGGGCCTATCATGTGACTATTATTTTTCCATATTATATAAATACATATAATTACCTGCTCAATGAATAGCACATTATTCACACAGGCTAAATACACCGAACACAGTCACAGCTGTTTTAATAATCAAAATACATTTTTAATCAAAATTATATTTTCAGACTACTCACGGATATTTAAGTTGATTTGTGTGTTTCTCCTGCACGACAGCTTTGTGTGGTTGTTAAACCCTGCTCATTACTGGGACAGTGCTCTCCATGTCTTGCCCAGCTGTTATTGCAAACTGCCTTTACGGACCGAGTAGCCGCCATAGCTGTCATTGACACCTCCCACTATTCTGCTAATCTACAGCCTTTAAGCTTTAATGTCAAAAAGTCAGCCTAAGGGTGCCACCAATTCTTGGTGAAAATGGGCACGAAATGCCTGCTTACTAATATAGCATCAGAGATCACTTATGTGAACATACTGGAAGGTTAAATGTGATTTATATGAGTTTTTGCACACCATTTTAAAAATACAGTCAAGGTGAAGGCTTTTTCCTTAGCTTTACAAATGCATGATTAGTTTGACTGTCCTGTTTTATATATTTTATATAACCAGCAGAAATGACACCATATTGTCAACATGACAAGCAGAGCGTTGATTACGTTAAATGTCCAGCTATACAACAGTAAATAGACACAAATGACAAGTTAACAAACAAACAAATCAATTTAAAAATAAGGGATAGCATCTTAAGCATTTTTTTAAATCATTTATTTCAGTGTATTGGAGTTTTAGTCACAATAAACTGGTAATTCACAAAAGAAAAAAATTGCTTCATGTGAAATAAGGTATTTTAACCTGATGCGTGAAAGTTTAAGGTTGAAATGTAAAGAACACTGTAAAATACATTAGAATTTTCCAGGAAAAGTTTGTAATTATTTTTCATTAACAGGCACTGATCAAACGCATGTATATTTTGCTTTTATTGTTTAATAAGAAACGTATCCCTACTTTTTCTCCGATCCACAAGCACTAGCGCATGGTACACTGGCCCAGGGGGGTAATTATCACACTTTGCCGTGGCTTTCTCCTCTCCCCTGAGCCACCCATTTGATTATTTCCCAACGTGTCCCACTGGAAGTCATCATACCATTCTCCTATTCAAATTCTGTAATCTGTGCAATTACAAGGCACGGTCTAGACACCTGGGAAAGTCTGCTATGAAGGGCATTCATGCTCTCCCCAAACTGGGGTGTCTGCAGTGGTCATCAAACAGAGCATTCCTGTCACCAAAGGTGACATTTTGTCAGTCTGTTTTATCAGCCTCTGTGACTTTCCGTTTTGCACTTCATTCAGCCCCGTTTATTGAAAATTTCTGCTCCAAGGTTGCCACCTCTTTCTGCCAAGTTTTTGGAGTGGCTTCTATGTTCATTCCTGCAACTCATTCCTTAATTTCCTTCATATTCTGCAAACCCTGTTTCCCGTATTGCTGTTTTACACCCACGAGGTCCACCACGTTTAAATCCTAAGTAACCCTCTAAAAAGTAATGCTGAGATCGTGTGTAACATAACCCTCCCGCATTCCCTCTCCTCTTCCTCCTTTCTCATTCTCCGTGTTGCCTAGCCCTTCTCCCCTCCCCCACAAACTGCTCTGTTATGATCCTGCACCCTCTGAGATCCCGTACTCCTTTTGCTCTCCCTCCTTTCCGCCGAAGATACTATGAATCAGTCACACCGACACGAAAAAAATTTATTTTCTGTTTCTGGTCATATTTAACAGTCGTCTTAAGCTAGCAATAACACGCGCGCACTATAGGATTGTTATATCTATCTCTCCACGTCACAAAATATAATCATATTAAATGTCGCTACGTCCAGATCAATAATAAAATAAAAATTAGCCAGTATTTATTTTAAGGGTATATTTAAGAGTATTTACAAATTACATTTCTTGTATTGTTACTTATTAAAAATGATCAGATGTGTATATTTTATCACGTGTCAACCTTAATAGATAATAAATTAATGTTGATACGTTTGGAGATACGTCGGTTGTGGATGCGCATGACTTGTAGCGATAATATTTAAGAAACTGATCGATCGCGGCAGGCGAGGACGTCAACCACGAAATTTAACGATCATGGGGCGTCTGTGTCCAGGCCTCCCTTCGCCAGCCGCAACTGAGCACACAGGCAGACGGAGCATGGAGAAGGGGGTCGGCCTTTGAGCTCAGTTGCGAGCGGCTATTGGTCGGTGCGTCTGCTCCTCTAGCGTCATCGTTGTTCTATTGGATAAACCGCTGCGGGTTTATCATTCTATCTAGCGCTGCTCCTGCTCCATTGCAGCTAACTTTTCGTGCGTTTTCTTCCGCTAACAAGCATAGTTCCTAAATTTTCGTATATTTAACTATACATCGGTAACAGGAAATGCGATTAGATAAATGCGAGTCGCTTACGCACTATTTGTAGAAATTGTTCGGCTCTTTGCAGGTTTTGAGGTGAAAACGGCAGGATTCTTGTTAGGCGTATGAAATTGGACACCACTTGCGTTGAGGTCCCTTTTCATGCGGATGGATACGGTATTGCTTCTGACAATGTGGATGGATGTTGTTAAGATGTCTTCTCGGAGGATGAAATGAACTCAGTTGTGGCAACAAAAAGGATTACCATAGAGTGATAGTTTGGATGCAAAGCGCTCTTTTTTATTTTGTCGAAGTGCACTGCCTTGCGAGTCAAGGGAGGCTATAAGAGAACAAATTGTCGCGCTGATACATACTGCTTTTGAAGCCCTGTGGGCGAAATTCACTTGGAAGTTTTATGTCTTTTCCCTGCGAGCGTCAGTCTTTATCTTTTTTTTACTGTTGGATGCCAGACATTTGAGGAAAAAAGAAAGGTAAAACCGCCTTCAGCGCACACATGCGGCGTTTTGAGACGTGTAGCGTGTTATTGAGTAGGATGAATCACTGACGCGGTGTGTTTTTCCATTTGAAAACGTTGAAGTTTGGCGAAATACAGAAGTTTTTGGGAATGGGGGACTGGGTGAAGCGGAGAGTGTGGCTGGACTTTTTGTCTGCTGTGGTGCTGACTTGAGCCTGTTTGTGGAGGTATCCGCACCAGCGCCTTTGTTCACTTTTAAGAGACATTGACAAGTTTAAAAACTGACTTTGAAGTTCACTCTACTATTATTATTGCCCTATCTCGCCTGCGCTATTTACCAGAGCTAGCTAGCCGAGTCGCCTGTGCACTTTCGATAACATCATAATTATCAAAAATAGTTTAGCAGTTATTGAAAATATAATTGCGGTGCTATCAGTTGTTTAATGGTCGGTTTTAGATGTAAATTTGATCACTTTGTTGAGATGTGTTTCTGCTGAAATCCCACAGTGGTGCTTGGCTACTGGAGCTCATTTATTTATGTTGTTTATTGCACATTTGGCAGGAAATTCCTTATTGCTTGACCCCCCCCCCCAACCCCCACCCCCCGACACACACACACACACACACACACACTTGCCCCCGTATTCCCAGGCAAAACTTAGCGGCGATATTGCGAGCTCTTTGTGTGTTAAGTTGGGACTTGTGCAGCCCTGTTAGGTGAAGTGCGCGCCCTCGGACTGCGATGCCACTTCGCCGTGTCCGACATCGCCGCTTTCGGGAGCCTCGACTCTTTGTGTGTGTGTGAGTACTGTGTCAGAGAGCCCCCCCCCGAGCACGGCCACAGTTTCCATGTTTTTTTTTTTTTTTTTTTTTTTTACCACGGCCAGTTCAAACTTGGGCGATTTAAAAGCATCGACAAATTCTCGTTTAAACACCTTTAATGTGACTTGTCTGAACTGCTTGGCTAGCACCGTTCCTTGTGCTTTGGAATCTTCTCCCGAATATGATGGATAGAATCTGAAGACGGTGAAGGAGGAGTGTATTACATTTGAAATTTAATTTTATTATTATGATTTTTTTTTTCTGGCTGGGAATCTTGGTAGAGGAACTGAAGGCAACGAGACGCGTTTCAGTGCATCGGCGTACATAGGTAGCCAGCCAAGTTTTTCAGGTTGCTGAACACATTCACGGTATGGGTTTAATCGATCGTAACGCTTGCATATGCACATATATTTTAATATTTTAAAACAACTTGTGGATCAGGCGTCTGCTTCGAACGATATATTAAAAACAAATAGACTTTGATCGCGTGCCGGTAAAGGTTTCATATTGATAGTGATGAAATGTTGCCCGGTTTGTATGTGTGAAATTGGTGTTTATTGCAGTGTTTCGGGCGCACCGAGGCTGACGCCGGTGTGTTTTGTCACGTTAATATTATGGCCCGTTTGTTCTCACGGCCTCGCGGATTCGCACCGCGCTGTGTGCTTAATTGGTCTAAATCTGTTGCTTCCGAGCTGTGTTGTCTACAAAAGATGCCATTTTGTGTATTACATTGTTAACATGATATTACTCACATGCATTCTAACCCATGAAACAGCAGTGTACCGCTGACTTGCCAGGAACGGTACATTTTCGCGATGTGCACTGTGTGACTTCATGTGTTTGTTTCTATGCACCGATATTGTCTAACAGTCAGGCTTCAGTTAAGTTTTATTCCTTTACGACCGGCATATTATGCAGCATCTATACACACTTCTGAGGTCAGCAAAACTCCGCACCTCCTAATTTTGCTTGGTTTTCCGTGCTTAAATTTTACTAAGCAATTTGGAACAATAAGGGCCGAGTAGATTTTTGTGAAACCTCAGTTTTAAAAAATTACTTCAGTTGTGTATCGATGCGTATCAAATAAGCATACGAAATGGAGTTGAAAATACTAACAGGCCTGCCTGTGTGCGCTTGGTCCTTATTGAGGTCGATATAGACCTTTTCTTTGATTGAAGGTCTAGGCAGGGACCTACTTGTTAATTTCGATAAATTAATACCGCTCTAGCAGAATGTATACTCTTGGAGTGAAGTGCAACAATGGCTGTGAAAGGTCTCCACCTGTTGGTGCCCAGTGTCTAGGTCAGGCACTGAGCAGTCAGCATGGCAAATCAGAAAGTTTCATGGCATCTCTCACCTTTAGATTTTAGACTCATATGCATGGTGTACCCTGAAAGAAACTGGGGATTGGGAAGTTAGTCTGTCATCAGTTTGGCTGCGGTCATTAACATCCATTCAACCCTTTTGGGGGATTGTAAATGTCACGTGGAGCTTCTTGCCAAAATGGCTGATGCCTGAGTCTTTGTCAGGGATGTCTAATTAAGAATTATAGGGACAACATTTCAGAGGCCCTTCAGTCCCGCTTCTTGATGCAGGCCTGTCTTTATGCTTGCCGTATGTGGATGTTTTGGTTTAATAAGAAAAACCTTTTGGCTCTCAAGTAAGAACACACCATATGCATTTTATGAACAGGACATTGTTTTGTAGAAATTGTACCAGCCCCCCCCCCCAAAAAAAAATAAAAAATTTGGGAAAGGTCACGTTTATTGTGCTGGCCTATCATTCTCACATATGTGATTGTGTGATGAATGTTACAGGTTGAGGCATTTTTGCCTTGCATTGGATTTGTGATGCGTACATCTTTGCTTGTGCTGTTAAACAATGGGCTGTGACTTGCTTGAACTTCTGTCTGGTTTACCCTGTGCTAGTTTGGTTTCTGGTGCGTGTTTTAATGCAAAAATTTAAAAAATAGTAGTGAAAGTGAAAGGTTTTGTGGTGGTGAGCTGGGTTCCCTTTGAGTTATTCTGAAAAACCGAGGCAGCTGAAATTTAACAAGTCACATTAGGCACTGTGCCTAGAAGTTCACTTTGTAGAAAATATCTACAATGTGTCTCAAGGATGTCGTCTATTAGTTGTTGATGTATCAGGTGTTTGCCAAATGGAGAAAGCATTGAGGTAAATCTTTAGAAAAATTGAGGTGTTGGTTAAATCCCAAAACCTTGTTAGCAGTTCAGTTCTTTTGGAGATTTGCAGTGAGCGGCCATGTCCTGAACATTCTAAGGTTAAATTTAGTTTTCTTTGAACCAAATACATTTGAAAATGTAGAATTACTGTTCTGTTGTCTAGTGTTAAATCCCTGTGTGAGCGGTTGTTCATACAACTTAAATAATGACTTCAATTTTTAAAATATTTCAAGCCCTTGCTTTAAAATATCTGTGGATAGTGGTTTATCTTGCTTTGTTGCTTTTGTTTTATGCTGTGCACTAATAACCTTGACGTTGCAGCGTAAATTTGTCTTGACTTGCTGCCAGCCCTTTCAAACACTAGGGGGAAACACTGAAAGCAGCAATGTGCATTTTAGGTTGTCCTATTTAATATGACATCTCTTACCTGTGCAATTTGGCAGTGGAAGCCTAACTCTGATTCAGTGTTATCCCAGTTTGTGTGAAAGTCTTTTATGTGGTTTGTAGTAGTGTGGTTTGGAAGAGAGTAAACATTTTAGTGCATAAAATGTATAAAGTGTGTTTCATGGAGATGGATGTCAAATTTTGCATCAAGGAAATCTCTGTTTTTAAACCGGAGAGCGGTGCTCTCAGTTCTGTGTCTTCCTGCTGAGGTTGTGGGTCAGAGACAGTGAGCAGCCAGAGACTCCTGCTGCAGGCCAGGCAGTGTGTCCATTTGTTATTACTCGGGGAGAATGTTGCTTACTAGCTGAGTGTTCCTGGTGAAGGGAACCATTTTCAGATTACTCTTTAGGGTAGATTGGACCCTGTGAACAATTGAACATTAAGTCCTGCTATGTCCTGCTTGATGAGTAAAAACTGGGTGGAATATTCTTTCCTAATCGTAACGTGTGTGTTATTTGGATAAACAGGCCTAATCACTATTTATTTCTGACCGATACCCAATGGTGAGTCACTGGAAAAGCAGATGAATGGCTTGCACTTAATAGTAAAATGTTCTGCTGAGTCAAAAAAGAAAATCTGTTATTTTAGGGTATAGGGCAGAATTTGTTTTCTTGCCAACTATACATTACTACACTAGATTAAAACATGTCTGTCTTAATATTTGACTTGTTTAGATGCGTTTTTAGTACTTGCTGGTCATCTAAATGTGCTGCTCACTTGCAAAAGCGGAATCTGATTATGGTATTTGCACTGCTGTTGACTACATATCTATGAATCCCTGAGCACTGAATCATCGCTGACCTGGCAGTGGGGCATTTGTTCTGCTTGCCCGCATTTCTAGTGCATAGTGTATGCGCTTCTGGGGCCTCTGCTATATGAGAGGATGAGCACAAGTTCCCTACATAGTGCCTCTTTGGGTTAAATCAGGATGCTTTTCAAATATTGCTTTTTGTTAGACTCCTTAATGCGTCGTGCAGTCAGTGAATTTCCTCTCTCAGTTAACTATTTTTTAAAATTATTATTTAAAAACATCTCTTGTGGGTCAGAGTAACGGTCATTCTGTCCTCTTCATAGGTTTGCTAGTGGCTAAGACCGGATTGGCACGTACGAGCAGCAACAGAGAATGGCTGCTGTGGGAACAGACAAGGAACTCAGTGACCTTCTGGATTTCAGCGCGGTAAGAATTTATGGGGATGCTTGTATCTGGTGGTCAAGAGATCCTCTATGAGTGGCCTTTCTGAGGGCTTGGTGCCGGGCAGCAGGGACTGCCTTATCTCCAGTGGCCACTGCTTATGCTCGGTTTTTGAATGACGTCTTAGGTGCATCTGAATATTTCATGGGGTCATCCTAGTGTTTGCCTTTTCAGAAAAACCAGGCATGTTGTGCGACGTGTAATATGATACATGTAGATAAATAGTACCTGAATAGTCTTAATAACCTGTTCCAGTGTGGGAGATTTAAGAGAATACCTTGCGCATAGTAGACTTTGAGTCTCTTTCTTTTGAAGGTAGGGTAGAATTCAGATATTTCCTGTGCTTAGTGGTCATGCTCATCACTTGCTAGCTTTTTTGGTGGATTTCATGTTTTCTGGGGTTGTCCCATCTGTATGGACCTTTTAACAATATAACTGTGACCTTTTTGCTATAGATTCTTGAAATATTACCATGTAAATTACAGGAGAACTGCAGCAGGCCTGTGTTACTGGTAGTGTGGTCTGATGTATTGTTGAATTAAGTTGGTACAATACAAAAGTAACAGAAGTCTGAAGAGGCTAGTGCCAAAACAACGAAGTGTTTTGAAGTATTATAGGGCAGATGTTGTCCTGAACTACTTTCCACTTTCACATATGCATTCAGGCAGTCGCCACACAATAGGGCTGTTAATCTTTGGAAACATGGGGCAGAAAAGGCTAATTCCTTATAGACCTGCATCTGAAACCTCAGCGCTGGTGCTGCAGGACTCAAGCTTACAATTAATGTTTGCAAATGCGACCGGGTTCAGGACGTATATGCCGCTGATTAATTTCCCTCGATGGTAACGTCAGGTACTGGCTTTCCTCTTCTGCTGAAGCCAGAAATGAGCAGAATGTTGCTCAGATGCAGAACGAGTGCTTGAAAGCAGGAGGCACTCTTCAGCTCTGAGAATGACTTCATAAATGGCAAGGAACCAAGGCAGTGCAGTGAAAATGGAGTGGACCGGATTAAATGCATTGAGCCCCTTAACTGGTTAACATTCATGGGGCTCGTTTGTTCCCAGAATCGACCTCACAAATTGCTCCATTCTAGCGTGGGGTCTCGTCAGAGGCCCGACGTGTTGACGGTGTGCTGAAGCGTTGTCCTAGTCAAATTTCTGTGTGCTTTGCTTAAATGTAACCAGAACACGATTCAAAAAAAGGAAATGATTGCGAATAAATACCCAACACAAAATAGACACAGCACCAAAAAAAAAAAAACCCTGATTAGTCTTCTGTTAATTCTGTATCTGTCATTTAGATTTTGGGCTTCCAAAAATATGGCCTGGCTTGTCATATTGTTTAAGAGCTGGTGACTTTTTGGGTACATGCTACCCTCAGCCCCCTCTTCAGCCTGAATTGTGGTGGGGGTGTGTGCGGCAATACTTTTTTTAAATTTTTTTTTTTTTTATATAAACCCATAATGTCTTCTGTGTGTTGACGCTCTTGTATTAGTGGTGGGTCATAGGGGCAATTTTGTAGATGTTCCTACTGGTTTCTCCTGCTAACCATGTGGCTTGTAGGACACTGAAGATGCATGTGAGATGCATGGAGATGGCACATAGCGTGGACAAAAAAAATGATTAATTAGAAACCTAAGGTGGACTTAATTTATTGTAATGGAAATTTGCCATCCCTGCAGAGTGTCTAGATGTGTGGCTGCAAATGCTAATTAAGAAAATGTTATCGTCATCTGGCCCAGCTAAAATAACAATTCCACGAGTAATTAAAACTTACTGGTATTTAAATATGTCCTTAAATTTAAATGCAAACTCTTGGTGAACTGGAAGGAATTATTGTCTGAATACTATGTGATGTAATGTAACTAGTTGAGGACAAATGCCACGCGTGTCTTAGTCTAAACTTAATAATCTAGAAAACGCAATGACCACCAGCTTAGTCTGTTTTTTATAGGTAGCTAAAAAAAAATCTTTAATATGCTACAGCTTGTCGCGCTGCCTAGTAGACTGCTCTACATACAGATTCTTTTGAATTTCAATGGCTGCTTGTGTGTACGTCCCTACCCCCCTGTTCAACCACAAGTCGGCTTGGTTTTTGCTTGAAGTAAAATGTGTTGCCGTTGGCGAAGAACAAGAAGATGTAGTATCTGTCCCGGGAAAAGTTAGTGGTGTGACGATGCATGGCGTGCTCTGCTCTTATCTGAATGTTATTGTGGTGTCAATCATGTCTCCCCCCCCCCCCCTTCTGTCACAGATGTTTGCCCCACCTGTGGCTAATGGGAAGAACAGGCCAACGACACTTGCCAGCAGCCAGTTTGGAGGATCAAGTAAGCACATGCATGATTGAGCTTGTGACATGTTTTCAATGTGTTCGGGGCATTCAAATTACTTTTCCCCCTTAAATGTTTGAAAGTGAACTTCTAATTGATCTAAATTAGCTTTTCTTTTAAGGCTAATTAATGTCTTGATGACGGTGTCCAGCATATTGCCTGGCGCTCACTGCTCTAAAGGCTGAATTGTAGAGTGTCCTGTGGTGGTGGAAATGCTCTTGTGTAAGTGTTCCCATTCCCTGGCTCTCCCCTGTCATTATCCTCTGTCTGGGCTTTCTCAGCGCTGGGCCAGCGAGCCTCCTGCCCAGCCTTATTGCCTTTGATCAGCCTGTACTCTGTGAGCTCACAGGAGACCAGGGCAGGCACATGCATGCATTGATTCCCTCCCTTCCCCCACCCCTTCCTTTTTATGGTTCTGAGATGGTTGAACAGAGCAAAAGCTTCAGGCTGTTCATGATGCCTTTGAACTTTGTAGATGTATTACATATCATCAACTGGAGATCTGGAATCCTAGAACGGGGGACCTAAAATGGGTCCTTTTTGGTCAGATGGTGTAAGGATTTTTTTATTTTTTTTTTGTTTTCACTTTCTGACAGGTATTCCTTATCCTTGAATTTTGCTTTAGTGTCACTTGACAAATTTCAAAGTGTCGGTACTGTTGGATGTACTTTTTTAGACCTGTTACCCGTTTTCCCACAAACTTGAACCTGTGCGGTTTATTGGTTTCTTTTCTTGCGGAAAGTTATGAAGTAGTGCTTGAAAATATTAGCAATGAGAGTGTGCGTTATTAACATATGAAATGTAAGGCCGTCTTGCTCCCCACGTGCCACACAACATTCAGGGTGTTTAAGGCTCAAATAAAAATGTATATTTTTGCATCTGTACAGAGATCCGCATTGTTTCGATACTGTTGAAGTCCGCACCCCTTTTTCTAGTCAGTTACACTTGTGTTCTTTTTGCACATAATTGTACCATAATGTCGTAAAGCATTTGAATGAGACTTTGTTAGTATAAGCAAACTAATGGCATATGGGTAAACATTCACACGTCCCTTCTATCTAAGAGGTCGTTTATTGTAGGAAATACCCAGAAAGGGGATTATAACTGGAAGCGTGTCACTGCTCCAGCTCGCAGACTGAGGCTTCATCAGCTTTTCTGAGGGTTTTTTTTTTTCTCTCTCTCAACCCATTATGATAATTTGAAAATGTTGAAAAGAGCATCTAAATTTCAAAATAAACATTTCCTGTTTGGTAATTAATATTTAGAAGAGTACTGATTACCTTAAGTTTTATTCTGCGTGACCATGGTACGGAGCTGTCTGTTAATCCAGTTTTAGTTTCTCCTTAAATTTTATCTTTCTGTTCCTGTAATTTCTGTGCCTTGTTTTTAGGAGTGCTCATCCCCAATTAGAATCCTCCATAGTCGTTTTTAGTGTTAGCTCTTTGAGCTAACTTAAACTGCTAGGATTTAGTCCAAAGTGGTGTCAAGGAAAAGTTCTATTTTCTTTTGCCTCTTGACGGCATTACGTTCCAGCTGTTCTCAACCCCTCTAATATAGAACTGTAAATGCTGTAATGTAACATTCTGTGACCAATCCTGGAGGCTTTATGCTCTGTCAACATAAATTTTAATGATACCATCAAGTGTAAGAGTCCTTTTCCTGTTCCACACAAAGCCAGTGGTCACTGGCTCTTGTACGCTAACTAAATGCATTGATTTTGTCTGAATCTAATTGAACTTGCAGAGTAATTCAGTTTATATGCGAGCCAACTTAACATTTTTATTTTTTCAAACAGTTTACTTAATTGTTCATAATATTAAAGTTTATTTTGAGTGTTAAAAGGATAAAGGATTAAATTCCATCTCTGCTAGTAGGCTTTTGGTGAATATTTAGTTTATTCTTCAGTCCAAATCTTTGTTTAACTAAAAATGAACTGGCCGTTAATTTTTTGGAAAAGTTTAGAATTCCCTTTCTGCTGTCTCTCGTGTCACATTTCGCTCCCACCTTAAATGCAGATGTCAGACGTCTGTTTGTGCATTTGTTATGATACCACGCATCTGCACATAGTACTTTAGCATCTGTACAGTGTAACCTTGTTTACCCAAAGTAGCCAAGCACTCATTGCCCCATATGCGTTTTTGTGTACGGATTATTTAGCTTTACAGATTCTTCACTTGGTGGAATCTTCATTTTATACTTTGCCTGCTATCTTTTAAATATTCCAACAGTCTGTCTCATTAGATGGTTTCAGACCATATTCCCCATGCATGCTTAGAAATTCCCTCACCCTACTACATGTGCAGAACACATTTGGGCAGGAATGAAGGCTGCGTAGCTGCTCGAATTCGGAAATCTTTTTTTTTCTTTTTCTTTTTTTTTTCCGAAAAATCTTTCTTGATGCATCCTGGAATTGCAAGAATGTTGCATTGACAGGGTATGGTTTTCAAGTTTTAAATAATGCTTGCAAACCAAAGGAAACTTGTCCATACAGACCAAACAATCAATATTCTGGGGATGATTACAGAAAGAGACTCATGTCCATAGTATTGTTGCCTAGTAACGTGAAAAGAGCAAGGAACCAGTTGGTGTACTGCCAATGCTAATGAGTAACACAAAAATTGCAACAACAAATTTAGCAAAAGGCCTCAGTCACTTTGTCATAAAAGCATGTGATGACCTAGTTTTGATGGACAAAAAGGTAAGATTTTATTTTTTGAACTTGTTTTTTAACCAATTGCAACATGCTGAATAAAAGTTGCTGATTACTAGACAAACTGTTTTGTGTATCAGAATGTGAAAGCCATTAAATACTACTTAATCCAGGGTACATCAAATGCATGGCTTGTCATTGGTTTGCGCATGATGAGGGAGAAGATAAAGAATGGAAATATGGAAATAATCAGCTGCCATTTCACATCTTCAGTGTGATCGAGCCGCTATCACCTTACTCTGTGATACTGTTACACATCACTATCAATTCTCTTTAAACATGGTGACACATCTCCAGAGTGTTCTTAGCTTCTGGAAACCTGTGTTTCCTAATGTGTTTTCCCACATATATATGTTGGACATTTACAAATATTAATTGATCATTGCCTTTAACTGCCAGAATGGGTGACCCGGGTATCATTTAAAAAAATCCATACCCAGAATCCTTAGCCCAAGGAAGAACCATTATCCCCGTCCTTCGTTTGTTTCATTAGCAGCGCCGATTTTTGTGGGATTTGTTAATCTGCTGTGAGTTTAACAAACAGCTTTGCTGTTATTGCAGTCTGTCAGGTCTCTCAGTATACCATTGAACTGATTTTTAGGTGACTGGGCTCTAGGAGGAATATCAAAAGACACTTGACAGTGTGCTTCAGCTCAATGTCTAAGAACTTGTTTCAAAGTAACCACACATTTATTTCAAACTAGACAAATATGGAGATTCCAATTTCACCCATCCTTTTGTTTATTTAGACTTATTATTAATAATAGCATTATTATTATTATTATTATTATTATTATTATTATTATTATTATTATTTATCTGGGTTAGGGATGTGTGTTTAAAATTTCTTCAAAAATTGTCTAACTTATTTTCCATTAGCATGTTTGAGATTTATAAAGGCAAATCCAGACGTGAGAACCTGGTTAGTCTGTGTTCTTTTATAGTGGGAATAGTGAGCAACTGAAGCTGCTGTTTGGATATTCCTTAAGTAGGTTTAAATTGGTCTGCAAAAGCATGACTGTTATGACTGAATAATGAAAATGGATTTTTTTTTTCCTTTTCTGAAGGACCTCCGGCTGCTCTGATCGGGTTCGGGTTGTGCTTCTGAAGTCTAGCTTAGCTTAATGCCAGTACCACTACGATATATGCATTTTTTTTTTAATGCTTTTCTTATGGGTGATATGATCTGTGACTGTAGGTTAGCTTTGGATTCTAAACTTTGTGTTCTATGCCACAATCATGTTTACTTGTAATATTGAAACCTGGATGCTTCTGCAGATAGAATCTGTAGCGTTCGTTCGTTCATTCTTGATAAAGCTGTCGACTGTCTGCTCGAAGTTCACCCGCTGGTTGAACGTGTCTAGCTTACTTCCCCTTACCTTGTGAAATTGAGACATTATGGTAACCCCCCCCCCCCTCCCCCAAAGTGTGAGAATACATCAAGGAAACAAAGGCGAAGCGTGGCTCATGTCCTTTAAAGGCTTCACCCGCCCCTTATTTGGAAAGCCCCCCCCCCACCCCCCCTACCCCCCTCACCCGCTGGCTTGCAGGAAATGGTCTGAAAGGCTTGAAGAGCCGCCCCCCCGCCCCATGTTGACACAGCACGGAGGCTCTATGGCAGCCCTGCAGCCTCTCCCGCTCACCTCTGCAGCTGCTGGCCCTTCATCACTTTGCACGTGTCAGATACAACAGTCCTGAGCAATGGAGCAGCTCGGTCCCCCCCTCCCTCTCGTCACCTGCCGCCTGTCCCCATCGCCGCCTTCCAGTCATTAACCCGTGCGACTGCCTCTAAATGGGTTTGCTGCAGCTTCCAGCCCCTGCACCGCAAAACGTGTCCCGCTCTGCCCCGTAGGAATGTTGGTATAGTCCCACCCCACAAAAAAAAACATTTCCTTTGTCCTTTCCCATTAAACCGAATGCAGTTCATTAGCAGAACTTATGGGATGGCAGTGTCATTTTTAGGCCCGCGTACGCGTAAGCTGACTTGCTAATGTTCTCCCGTTTAATAATGGAAATGCTCATGGTGTCACAGAGCTACAGATGTGAAAAGGGTTTGATTGAATTTAATAAATCATTTGCTTCTGGTGTTACTGTTATGATTGACTTATATACTTTTTGTTTCTATAGTGCTGTTATTCTGTATCCTACCTCGTCTACGTTCTGAAACATTTTCTAGAACAGTCTATGATATGCATTGTCCCCTCCACCTCCAGCAGCTTAGCACATGCATTGCAGTTCCTGAACGAAAATGCGGAAATATACAAATGAACGTATGTTAACAGCAGCATGTACGATTAGTGTTGGGCTGATGCTAATGTTTCAGTGCCATTGGTGTGGGACTTGCCCTTCTGTTAAGGTGAACGGCTGCATCAGGAAGGGCTGCTGCTTTTCAGGAAATTCGCTCATTAAAAACCTGTCCGCTTCTGGCCTGCGCGGCATCTCTTTGGTTCTCGCATGTGCCTCCGACTTGATCCGTCTTAGCTTCTCCGTCACTGCCTTGGCACGCCCTGGGCGGTTCCGATCTGTGCAAAGATCCTCCGGTTCTGTGTGGAATTAGCGTCTCTGCTCCGCCGTCAGTAGGTCCCCGTGAGCGGACCCTTGCGTGCCGTGTACTACTTTACAACTTATCTGTAGTGCCGCAACTCAAATCTTTTATACATGTTAATCTATGGCCGCTGCCAAAGTCTGACTTGTCCTACATAGTATGTTGTGATAGCAGCTGACAGCCAGGCTCTGCTCTGACTGACGTGTATTAGGATCCCCGTGTAGATCGTCTCCCGCTAAGACCTTAAGTCCGGCAGCATTTGAACAAAACGATTCTCTCCGTGGGAGCTAAAGCATGGATTTGGCGGGGAGGCCCGCCTGGTACGCGGTTAGCGTCGCTGCCTCGTAAGACGGGCGCACGTACCTCTCCCCTTTTGACTTCATCTAGTTGTCATATTAGAGCTTTTTTAATTAGGAGTGAAATTAAAAAAATCGCAATGAATATGCATAAGACTTAATTACTATGCACAATTAGATCTTCTTTTGCCCCATCACTTTTTTGATAACCCCTGTATGTAAAACCTTGCTACCTCCCCGCCCCCACACCTTTTTTTTTTTTTTTTTTTAATAAAAGCTCTTAAAATAAATAAATAAGCAATACCCCTCCCTGCCAGAATGGCACAAACGTATTAAGTCTTGTGTACTGGCTGCCTGCTGATTTCTCTTACACTTGAGCCTGGCAGAACTGCCTGGTGTCTGTCACTGCAGAGCCTCTCTACACCCTGCTTTAATTGCTTTTGAGTTAATTACTCCACAAAATGTGGTAAACATTGAATTTGGAACATTAATTTCCCCAGCCAAAAGGATGCAGTCACAATGCACCTCAGAGAGTGGCTTAAAATGTCATTTTAGGCACCAAATGTGAGAGATTACACTACTGGACCGTTGATTTGAAGATGCAAACGGCTGAGCCTTGCTTCCTTATTTAACGTTACACCCGTCAGGTTTAGTTTTGAATTTTGTCAGGAGTCCAACTTTTGTTCCCAAATAGGTATTGATATATTGAAGCAAATATTGTGTTGATTGTTGATAGTGAATCAAAGGACATCGGAATCTGCACATCAGGCTGTCACACGTGTGAAACTTGTATTTTTGTACTTTTTGATAAACTTGCTTCTGATTTACGCAACTCCCTGTATTGTTTTTCTGATGGCATGGTTTAGCCTGTATGCTGCGTGCTCATGCTGGGGATGTGTGAATGTGTCGCGGCCGTCCGTGGGTGTACGCGCCATCCAAATATGCCTCGAGTCAGACCCGAATTTATGAAGCCTTTCCATGATGGATGCCGCGTCGCGTGACGAAAAACCGACATGTCGCAGAGAGCCTGCATGGCGACGCCTTTCGGTGACCAGCAAACGTCGACCGGCGCTGATCTGTGCCCTGTGACACCGCAGGTCTTTCCTGCTGGGTGCCGTGTCTACTCCGGTAATTACGGGCACGGCGGGCTCGTCAGCTGGTTTGTGGAGCAGCGTAGGGGATAACGTGGCCGCGCTCTCTGGCCTCTTGCGCTCGCGGCCGTGTCCGTCGCTGGGAGCCGCGGCTGGTGGCGCACTAGTAGGAGCCTGTACTGCTCTCTGAGCCCCGTCGCTCATTCTCACTCTCTGCAGTTCAGATCCTCCCCCGCTTCCCTCTTTGTTTTAATTAGACAACAAAATCAAAAGAAAATATGAATATTCATAAGGCATGCACATTAATATGCACAATTATGTAAATCAGGATGCAATTAAGACTCGTTTCTCCAGAGAGCCTGTGCAGCTTTAACGCACGACTCGGAAAGGAGGGGGGTTATTAGCGGTCTCTGTTTCAGCAGTCTTTAAAATGCTTTCCCCATTGCCAGCCTGTATTTTATATGCTGTGTTTTAAAGGTGCATTTCTGTGGCTGTGAGACCATGGCTGTGGAATGAATGGCTAGGTTTTATATTCATGTATACAGGCATATATTAAACTTATCGTTTAAAAAAAAATTTAAACTTACCATTTCCTTGACTTAATTAGTGTAAGACCACAAATTGGGGGGGGGCTTTTTGGCACAGAAGCCCATGCAGATGCTTAAGGGGGAAAATGCCTTTTTTTCCTGATGATGCTGTGTGGTGGTGCGGAGGAGTTTAAAAAAAAATATATATATAATATATATTTTTTTTTAATTAAATTATTAATAAAACAAAGTTCACCGTTTGTCTACAGGCAGCCTTGTCAACGCAGAGCTCTGTCCTCTTGCCTTTTGTCAGGGGTCTTTGTAAATGAACTGGTGAGAAATGAGAGTACACATGACCCTGATTTTGAGCATGTCGCATGGACCCATGTATGTCTGTAGGGGGCGCTGCACCATCTCGCGTCGTGTTTCTCGATGGGTAAACGTGGGTCTTTCCTAGGTATGGACGAGCGTGCTGGTTCCGGGTCCTGGCCCCCCGCAGAACAGAACAGCCCCTCCTTCAGCCAGGGACGGGTAAGCAATGTCAGGGAGTCGGCGCTTTTCGGACATTTGCGCCGCGTTGAGTCTGTTACCGTGGCGGCAGGGAGCCCCGCGCTCAGTGTCGCCACGGTGCTGCGTCATTGACCCCTTTAACATCGCCGGGTTCCGTTAGCGTGGCCCAGCTGATTCCTGCTGGGGAGTTCGCTGTCTGGTAAACAGCAGCCTCAGCCTGCTGGCTCTCCACGAAGGGGAGGACCTCTGAGAAACATGATGAATAATACTGGGAGACCTTTAATAGGTTTTTACTTACAAATTTTTGGACTTGCTGTATTAAGCTGAAGTATTTAACTGATGTTTTTATGAGGAATTGTAAATGCAGAATGTTTGAGGTACGACTTAAGATGTCAGTGTATACCCTGATAAAATGGGGGGGGGGGTGGTTATGCCGGTTTCTGTCAGGCTGAGACTGCAATCATGGTCAGACTGGAGAAGGGGTACAGTTTAAATAAAAAAATGTAAAAAGCGGCACAATCTGAACAACTCCCTGTCCCAACAGGGGTACGGCGAAGGGGCGCACTACAGCGAGCACGAGGGGCTGTCCACGGCGCCCTACCTCAGCTCAGGGATCGGCGGTAAGTGGCTCGCCAAATAGCCATCGTTGCGTGCTCGCCCAGCGCGCCATGGGCACACGTGACTGTTTGAGGCCGCGTGCGGGTGGAGGGCACGGGTGAGACGCAGTGCCAAAGTCTCCCCAGACTCGGCTACAAAACGCTGAGGGGGGAGGGGGCGGTTTAAGGGCAGTCAAGCACAAACAGTCCTGGGGGGTCGGCTCTAGATGCAGCTGGCCTGACACTAAGGCTGCTCTCATTCTCTCTGGTCTGTACGTACCATAGAAATTTTCCATCTTTGAATGCAGGATTACAAGCACAATTTTTCTGGGGGGGGGGGGGGAGTGAACCTCAGCAGGCGAAGAGCCGGTTTATCCTCCGCTCATAACGCATCATGGCTGTCACGTGTTTTCTGTGTTGATTCCATGCATCGTTTGTGCACCAACACTAGGAATTAACACTATGCATACATGACATGCAGTACCACCAAAAATCTTGGCCAGTATGGTCACCCTTTGTCACAGGTCTAGGTGTTAATGTATGGTACAGTTAGTATTAAAGTAGCGTCTTTTTTTTTTTCTCTTCCTTTTAAGAATGAGTGGCTGAAAGAAAATATTCCAAGCCCTGTTGTGTGCCTCTGTGTACAGCATCGTCAAAATGCCAGATTGTTCCTTCTGCTTCTGAATTCAGTCTGAGCGAAGGAAGTACTGTCATATGTACAAAGTACAATGAAATTCTAACTTGAAATTCTTATTTGACTACTTTGATAAGCAATGTTATTTTTCAGTACAGTTCCGGTATTTAGAAATCTTGTTGATAAAATTTGCTGAGAGCGTTGGGTTTGTTTCGCTAGAATATTTATATTGTTATAGGAAACAATTTAGCAAGCTGTGGAATTTTACTGACCGCTGCTTTTCAACATTATCTAGTATATGTTTAATGTTAGTTTTAAAGTTTACTGCCACCTTCTGTTTGCGCTCTCTGAGGCATTGAAATTAATTTATGTATTTCAAACTTATTTTTGCTTCATAAATATTGCAATATTTATTGCAAAAAATATTCTCCCCCCCCCCCAACGGTATTGTATAGCTGTAATACTAAGTAAGAAATACTAAATAGCACAAGATATCTAACAACCATATAATGCGAAATTCAATATGAGGTAGTGAAGTGATATGTGGCAGAGTGCTGTGATATGAGTGCTGTGTATCATACGCAGCGGTGGGTGGAATATTGAGAATGCAGCAGTATTGCAGAATTAGCACCTGGCTGTGAAGGCAGTGAGCGTACAACATTTCATGCCACAACCCCATGCAAACAAGTAAGACTGTAAACGACAGAGCTGACCGAAATGGGTTTTCTCGCACTGCCCCCTGGTGGACACGACCTTTAATCCTCCAGATTAACGTAAACTACTCGTGCAAATATGAACAGCAGCACTGCTTGTGTAGCAATAACGCCTGTAAACGCAGGTATAAACCAGCCCTAAGTAGGTTAGTTTAACCGAAGTGTCGTGATGATGTAAGCGAGCGGAGATGAAGCAGCATTCACGGATTTCAGATATTTTGCCCCAAATCTGTGTGTCTGTTCAACTTGGGGGGCAGATGGGTGAAAACTATTGAGAATCTAAATATTTAATGCCGTTTGTCTGCCATTATTGACAAGGTTACTGCTGTTCCTGATCAGCGTCTTTTGTTGCTAAGCTTAGTGTCACCTTAGTGTGTCTTACCAAACACCCACATGTATATATATATATATATATATTTTTCTCCTCAAGGTAAAAACGAAAGGGGCCCATACTCATCTTTTGGAGCTCAGGTGAGAGAATATTTGCACATTCCCCCCCCCCCCCCCCCCCCCTTTTCTAATGGTGGCCTACAGGCAGTAGGCTTCCACCTCTGTAGGAAAAACTGTGAATGAGGCGGAGTTGGTACATGTATCTTCCTGGTGGGGGCCAGAAAAGAGCCTTTCCCTTAGTACCAGTTTCCGAGGGTACATTATGTACTGAGGCTTGTGGCCCCGCCCCCTTTGACCCAGTGTCGGCCTTACAGCTACGCCTGCGTGCGGATGACACATCGCATTCCTCCCGTCTGCAGCCCGGCTTCCTGTCAGGAGACATGGCTATGTCCAGCCCCGACGCTCTGTCTCCCTCAGGCCTGAAATCTGGCTCCCAGTTCTACTCCCCATATCCAGGCAACGCGCGGAGGCGTCCTCCCGACGGCGGCATCGGTAAGCCGCCGCTCGCTCCTCCAAGGGGAAGGCCGCCGAAATTCAGCCATGACTTTGACACGATCCTTATTTGCTGTTGTCCGGAGGTCCTACTCCCTAATGTACCTTAATGTACAAATTGAGGGAGGCAATAGTTTTAAATGCATTAAATTCCGTTTGTTTTTGTATGGCTCCCTTCTAGAAGTTTGTCCCAAAGTCTCAGTTGGTATAACTGACCTACCATAGTTGATTTTGCTTGATTTCCCCAGACGACAGTGTGCCGGTCTTTCCCTAAGATTGAAGGTTTTTTGAGCGGTGTCCAACTTTGAGTAATGCCGCTCAAATAAACTAATTCAAGTTAAGCAGCATCTTTTTTTTTTTTTTTGACCTAATAAATTTAGTCAGTGTTGTACCATTACGACACTTTTCCACTAGATAAGATTTCATTTGATATTTTAGTTCCTACTTCCAAGTGAGAGGTCTCTATATTTAACAGGCAGTGGCTGTGAAATCATGAAACTCTATTGCCGTTTTATTCTGAGTGAGGGCAGAGTGTCACTGTGTAATTCATGGTGGAAATTCTCGCGAAGCAAAGTGAGAGGCTTGCGATTCTGAGGTCAGGCACTGGTGGGAAACTCAGGCCCTCGACGGGGCTCTTACAGGGTCCTGCAGACCGGGGTTTCTTACTCTGCTTCATTGGCAGTATGTTGCATCTCTCGGTTCCCTTTCAGATGCTCAGCCAAAGAAGAGGAAGGTTCCTCCTGGCCTGCCGTCCTCGGTGAGTCCTGCCTGGGGCTTGTCCACGCCGGCCTAACGTCCGGAGACCCTCCGCTCGGTGCTCTGCAGGCCGTCAGGCCTGCCCTCCTCTTCCTCTACGCTCACCCTTCTCATCTATGCGTCTCCTGCTTTATGCGAATCTGACATCTTCACGTTGATATTCACGCAACGTTAAATTAGGGTAATTTTTTAACGTTTGTCGATGGAGAGCCCATCAGCCAGCCGCTGTTTAATATTGTACAGTGATTACATTTCCATGTAGGTTTGGTGCAGATGAACTCGCAAGCTAACTCCCCCCGCACATTAGTGCCTGTGAGTGTGACCCAGTTGTGACGATGATGCTCGGAGGCGACGGAGGCCGCCGTCTGAGCCCAGATTACGGCTTGCTGTCTTCCCTTCCCCTGTGTGCCGAGCTTCCTCCTGTGCCCTGTCCACGCCCTGGACAGGCAGGCCGTGTGGGTGCAGATTCCCTCGCCAGCTTCAGGACGTCTTTACCCTTATTAAAAGTTACCGTCTGCACCATTCAGTTGGCCTTTACTGTTGACATTTAAGCAGGTTTTAAATTTTTTATACATATTTTTTCCTTACTTCCTCCCTCCAAATCTGTCAGGTCTTCATTGAATCAGTGAACTGTGCCGCACTGTGGTTCATTTGTAACACTTTCCCATTATCCAGTGCATACTGGTTTATTCTCTCTCTCTCTCTCTCTCTCTCTCTCTCTCTCTCTCTCTCTACCCCCGGTACATTTGTTCGTTCCTCTGCTAAATTCTCCTTTCCCCAAATATGGACTCATTCCCCTAATTCACCTCTTAATTCTTTTTAAAAGAGTCAAAGCCCCTAAATCCTCCTGTCTGAGCGTCCGCCTGCTTTGAGCCCAAAGCTGCCCCCCTCCCAGTGTATCCTTGCTTTTTTTTTTGTGCCCCTTCCTCTTGGATTATTTTGGGTTTTACAGTTTTGTAAGTTTCCTTTTTATATTCTCTGTCTCTCCCCGCTCCACCCCCACGCCCACCACATTCATATTTGGTCAACGCCTTTTTTCACTGCATTTTTTTTTTTTTCTCCCGGCTCTGTCACAACCCCCTCCCGGGCCGAGCCAACCCCCCTCCACCAAACTCCCCCCACCCCCCTCTCCTCAGCCCAGCTGCCTGTGGAGTTGGACAGGCTCCAGGAACGGGCAGATGGCTCCGTAATTAGAAGTGCATCTCTCCGTTCCCTTTCCACTTCTCCCTGTTAAATCAAATTACAGAAAAAGTCAGCTAGCTGGATTTGCATTCTCTGCTGCCTATGCTTTTATTTCTTCCTTGCAAAAAAAATGTATATATATAAAAATATATATGTGTGTGTATGTATGAATGGGCATGTGATGGGCATCAGGGAAGGGGGTGTTTTTGCACATTTGCCTTTGGGGCGGCTTTGCAGTGCTGGCTGCCCACAGCGGGCACCTCCAAGGACACATGCTGCTCCTCTGACTGTAGTCGCCACTATTCCATTTTTAGTTGTGTGCCGATATTCGATTTATTTATTTTATTTTATTTTTAAAAAAAGGTTTTCAGGCACATAATAGGCACCTGAGACATGAGAATTACCCCAGGTGCCCCCTCAATCTGGGGGTGGCAGCTTCCAGAGCCCCTCTGGATGGGCTCGTGCTTGGGGACGTGACGGTTGGGGAACTGGGCAGCCTGCTCGGGCCTTTCGGGTTGGGGGGGCGTGGTAGCTGGAGGTCCGGGCGGCTGCGGTGGGCTGCGCTGCTATTTTGGCCAGCTCCAGGACCGGAGGAAGTGTCCGCTGCCTGCCGTCCCCGATGACGCCGCTCCCTGTGTGACACAGCTGTTGGTCGCCAGGCCCGTGCGGACCCTGCCAGCCCCCCGCCCCCTCCCCGTGGCTGCTAGCCGTGCCGCATGACAAACCCCCCCCCCCAAAACGGAAACGTGTGTGAAACGAACGGCGTTGTTAGTGTGCCGCTAGACGGGCTCTGCTTACCTGCCGACGCCCCGCCCGCCGGAGGAGCCTTTGCGGTGGCAGTGGGTAGCAGCTCCAGAAAACACCCCCCCAGACTGAAGCATGATGGTACGTTCCTGCTGCTTGTCTTTTGCAGGTATATGCCTCGACGTCTGGGGACGAATACAACAGGGACAATACGGGGTACCCTGCCCCCAAGCCGGGGACCGTCTATCCAAGCTCCTTCTACATACCAGGTCAGGAGCCTCGGGCTCTGCTGGGGGCAGCTCTGCTTTCACATACAGGATTGTGTGTTTGTGAACAGTGCCTCTTCCCTTGACACCATTTTCATCAGTGTGCATTTCACTCATTTAGTCAATACTTTGCGTTACTTTGTACTGTTTACAGAAATAGGAGACCCACACAGGCCGATCATTGAGCTGAATGCTCAACCGACGGGCGTTCTGTTACGGCCCAAGTCCTTTATGCCCTGTGATCGTGTTGAGTTTACATTGTGTTTAAGTCTGAAGTTGTTTGGATCTTTTATTGATGGTTACAGAAGCAGGAGGCAGCGCCGACCCCAAAGAATGTCCCTGTCTCATTCCCACGTTCCTCTCAGCTGCTTTAAATTTCAGAAACTTGTTGACAGTGGTTGACGGATTATGGCCGCGTGTGCGTCCTGGGGTGGGGGTGGGGGGGGCGCTCTTTTACTGTGGCGTCTCGTCCAGCACGGGGCTCCGGTGACTTCCGTTCATCTCCCTCTCTGCCTGTGTTTACAGAGGGTCTGCAGCCCTCCTCAGATCCCTGGGGCTCTTCTGGTCCACCTGGCCAGCTGGGGTACTCCCCGATGCTGGGGAACTCGCCTCACATCGCCCAGCCAGGGTCCTTCACTGCCATTAACCCCCAAGACCGCATGGTGAGCCCTCGCATCACTCCCAGCCCTTCCTGCTTTATTCGCTTGCTTTTCCGTCTCCCCACCGGTCACCGGAGACCCCCGCTTGTCTCTTTTGGATCATGCTCTGGAGTGCGCGTCTTGATCGGGCCCATGTCTGCCCCCTACCCTGCCCTGATCCCCGCCTCTTACCCCACCTCCAGAGTTACCCTCTCCATGGCAGCGAAGTGAACAGCAGCTTGCCCTCAGGCTTCCATTCCAACCCGGGGGGGTACGGTGTGTCCAATCACACCCCCCCCATCAATGGCGCAGACAGCATAATGGGTATGACGCTCGGACTCCTTACCGCTTAATGCGGTTACTGCTCTCTGATCTAATTGCCCCCATTATATGCACCTGTTTCTGGAAAGTTCTCCTCAATGGCAGGGGCTGCACGGTGCATGTCTTGCCTTGCAGACCCCGTGTGGTTTTTGTTCTCTTTTTGGGAGTCGTGCGTGTGTCACTGCGGTATGTTAGCGCTCTGACATGTTTTGCGGCTTTTCCTTCGCAGCCAGCAGAGGCACGACGACGGGGAGCTCCGGGGACGAGATCGGCAAGGCTTTGGCTTCGGTCGGTACCCCCCCCCCCCCCACCACCGACGCTGCCCCAAGGGGCTTCAGCCTGTCGTCTCTGTGGAGCCTCTTGGTTTACCTGCATTTTTTTTAAAATTGCAGATCTACCCCTCCGACCACAACAGCAACAACTTCTCCTCCACCCCGTCCACTCCAGTGGGTTCCCCTCAGGCTGTTGCAGGTACGGCATGCACACTGAAGTTGTACCACGGGATGGGGGGGGGGGGGGGGGGTGGTTGGCGCTACGTTTTTAGCCAGGGCCTCATGCTTGTCAGATTTTCGAGACATGCAGAAACGAGGAACATAGTGCAAGACCGCAGATGTTCCTTAACTGTGGTCAATGGCTGTCGAAGTCTCAAAATGGCTTAACAGCGCCATCTGCTGTGTACCGAGGGAATAGCAAATTACCAGTTATGCTGCATCTTATGGATGCGATCTACAGAAAGCTGACACTTGATCCCCAGAAATCCAGATTTATATATGGATTTGGTAAGAATCTAGATTTAATTTACCGAGGATTGTTAACTAAGGCATGTAAAATGTAGTTGTTACTGTCTATTTTTTGAGATGCCTAAGTATTTAAGTGTTCAAAAGTATATTTTCTTCTGACTCATTGGTGCAGTTTTTGTAATTGGAGCAGAGATCCTAAGAAGACCTTTCGAGTCCTGAATTCAGGTTCGTTTGTTCATCTCTTTGTCCACTCCTCAGCGGCTGGATCTCAGTGGCCCCGGACCCCTGCGCAGACCCTCTCGCCCAGCTACGAGGGCGGCCTGCACACGCTGGTAAGTGGGGGCGGGCGTTGGCGTGGGGGGGCTGCTCTGTGCTCTCTGACGGACACGCCCATGCAGCGCGTCTCTGATTGGCTCTGACCTTCCTATGCCCACCCCTCTGCTGCAGAACAAGATGGAGGACCGGCTAGAGGAAGCCATCCACGTGCTGCGCAGCCACGCTGTGGGCCAGCACTCGGACATGCACAGCATGCTTAGTGCCGTGTCCTCCGTGCACAACGGGGGCCTCGGGGGGCTGACGCCGGCCTTCTCCAGTGCCGGCCTGGCCCTGAGCAGCCGGCACCCCGCCATGGTGAGACTGAGTGCCCGCGGGCCAGTGACTGGCGCTCGGCTGGGCGCCGATCTCTCAGCTGCCGGCTGCTCCTCCACTTCAGGGCTTTTTGTTCTGTAATCTCCTGCGGAAAGACAATAAGAAATTGATTTTGTTGTATTGGATTAGATAAATTCTTGCGCATACTGGTCCCAGGATAGGCGAGCATACGCTTAGTGCACAGCAGATGTTGCATGGATGGTCCACAGTGCAGAGAAAAGGCTAAAGTCTACAAGAAAATGTATGTTTATTGTATAAAAGTTATCAAATGCCTTGGAATAAGATGGGGGAATATAAATCCTAAAAATGAGTGTTTATAATAATAATAATAATATAGATACGACCCACAGATGGATGATATGACAATTTGCTATAAGCAGAGTTATACGCCATGATTCTCAGAGGTGGCTAAAGGTGCCCGTGCCCCTTAGGGTGCCCACCACGAGGATTCGGCAGGCCTCCCCCACAGCGGCAGTCTCCTGCAGAGTCACCATGCCTCAGTCCCCACGCAGCCTGGAGGACAACCTGAAGGCTTTGCCAGTAAGCGTCCGGGCGGGCCGACTGCCCCCCTCCTTTAGGGCTCCGACGGCTCTGTGCCGCGACAGATGTTAACACGGCCTGCCTCCGCAGGCCTGCCCGGGGCCATCGCTTGCTCCTCGAACTCCAGCAGCAACTCCGACATCAAGAGGGAGGACAAGGAGGGCGACGAGAATGCATCCATCGGAGACAAGTCTGATGATGAGAAGAAGGACTCCAAGGTCTCGCACTCGAGAACAAGGTGTCCGCTCCGGCCCGCTCTGCTCGGTACCCTCCTGCATGGGGGGCTGCTCACTCGCGCACTCAGATTATATATCTGCATTTTTGTGGGGACTCTCCATTCATTTCTATGGGCATAACTCTAATCCCAATTATGAGAACTTTATCCTTGAACCGTAAGTATTCTAAACAAGATGGAAGACTTATCGTTTTTTGGCAGCAGTCACAGGTTTTTATAAATGAGTTTCCCCCTGTGGGGACCAAAATAACAGCTTTTTGTCACATTGTGGGGACATTTAAAAAATATTGTGGGGACCAATATATCAGTAATGCATACACATACAGACACACACACATTTGTATTTTGTATCTTTGTGGGGACTCTCCATTAATTTCTAAGGGGAAAACCTCTAATCTCAACAATGATAACCCTAACCCCTACCCTTAAGCTTAGGTATAAGTAACCAAGCAAAATACATGACTTTCGGTATTTTTATTTTTTTTATTTTTATAAAATTGAGTTTCCCCTCCCAAAACAATGGTCCCCACAAGGTCAAAATAACAGGTTTTTGTCAAGTTGTTTGGACATTTTAGTTCCCACAATGTAATATTTACGACACACACACACAAAACAGAGTCCCGCTGTTCTCTTATGGTTCTGTATTCCCTGGCATATTTTCACACTGTGTTGCTGTCTGCTGTTTTCTTTGTGCGGCACAGGAAGTCCTGACTGTGTTGTATTTTACATGACATGCAGGGTTAAGTTGCACCTCAGTCGCTTCTCTTAACTTATTTAGACTGGACCAACATTTAAGACGCCACCTGTAAAAGAGCTCTAAGTGTGTTTTGTGTGCATGGAGGCGTCGACTGCATCATTAAGTTGCGTGGTTGTAAGTTGTGTCCCAACAATTGAAATCCGGAGAAGGAGACTCTGAGCACAGATGTTGCATTTGAGTTCTTCTGGATTGACACTAACGTAGCTGGTGTTGGGTTCTGAGCAGCGGTATGGTGTGGCATTGCGATATGAGCAGGCGCTCGTTCCCTCAGGTGACACTCAGGAGAAATGGGGGCTGTTTCGCAGCCGTGTTCATCGTATTAAGACACGGCAGGAAGAGGTGCCTTGACTGTGTGGAGCTGCTGGCTCCACGACGTTGCAGCCTGATGAGCTTTTGCTGCTGTTTCCATTTGGCCGTTTGGTCGTTCGCTGTAGCTTATTGGGGCCACATTATCGTCGACGGTCCGGTCTGAGTGTCAGGGCACGTGCTTTGGTGTCCAGCTGCAAGGTGCCTCTCCAATATTCGTTGCTGCTGCCTTTCAGTCAAGACGAGGATGATGATGAAGACCTCCCGGCCGAGGTGAAGATCGAGCGGGAGAAGGAGCGGCGGGTGGCCAACAATGCGCGCGAGCGGCTGCGGGTGCGAGACATCAACGAGGCCTTCAAGGAGCTGGGCCGAATGTGCCAGCTGCACCTGAGCAACGACAAACCTCAGACCAAACTGCTCATCCTGCACCAGGCCGTCAATGTCATCCTCAACCTGGAGCAGCAAGTGCGAGGTCAGACCCCCGGCCGGCCGTCGCCCACGTCCCTGTGCCGTTTCGCTCTGGAGCGGCTCCTGTACCTGGCCGGTGCCGCTCTGGAGCGGCTCCTGTACCTGGCCGGTGCCGCTCTGGAGCGGCTCCTGTACCTGGCCGGTGCCGCTAATTATTCCGGACTTCTGACTTTGAACAAAAATCTGATGCAGACCTTTGACCAAAAAGTTACACGACCCCTGACCCAATGTATGCATCAGGAAAATTTAGCATTACTGTCTGTCTCATCA